GGTTTCGTGTGTACTGCATTGTGGGTTAGTTTCCAGCAGACTTGTACTATATATCCGGTCGAAATTTGTTTGTGTGCGTACGGAAGCAGAAATACAAGATTGGTACAAAGGTTTCCTGAAGGTCAGTTGAATCATGTATTATGAACTTTTGCCTGTGTACATAAGCGCGTCCTTAGTGATCTAATGACTCCATAGCTTAGGCAATCTGTTATGCACAGTAATACACATCACAGACAGTTACTTAAAGGTGAATATATCTCCGAAAGGTTACTGCCTTTAATTAATCTTGTGTTGAGCCTCCTTTATGTGATTATTTTTGTTTTCACACTTAGGACCAGATTATTATAATTATATCCTTCGGTTTTCTGCTAACTTTTTCACTCCGCTCCAAGTCTGCCCACATGCTGGGTTGGTTCGCTCAGTGCCAGAGATCCCTGTTGCTGATCTCTTCTGGCCATCCATCTGATCTTGAGTATTGAGCGAAGACAACTGTTAATGAAGGTCTGTAGTTTGTTTGAGATGCTCTTTATTACGCGCTGGCCAAGTCTCTGATCCGTATTGTAAGTAGCACTGACTTCACATTGGAGTTAAAAATCCGGATCTTATTTTTGATGCTGAGTGGGGCTGTTGACCTCCACACAGACTTGAGAGTAATGAAAGCTTGTCTTGCTTTTCCGATTCTGGCTTTGATGTCCTCGTCAGTTCCGCTTGTAGTTGAAACGATGCTTCCCAGGTAGGTAGGTGAAGGAGGTTGTTTGTTTCAGGTTCCTCCCATTTATGCTGGCTGATTGTTGTCTGCTGTTGTTGCTGTTGCTGTTGGCCAGGAATCTTCATCACCTCTGTTTTATCTATGTTCACTTGAAGTCGTAACTTTGATACTTCTTCTACCGACTTGTTGCTTCTCACTTGCATATCTTCCAGTTTGTGGGAAATCAGACATATATCATCGCTGGCGATGTCCAGATCCTCCAAGTTTTTTGTGTGATTCCATTTTATGTTTGTTTCCTCATTGCCCGTTATCTGTCGCATTATCCAATCTACTGCAATCAGGAAGATCATTGGCGATAGTAGGCAGTCAGCTTGTCTCACTCCCATCCTCACTTCGAAGGATTCCGTAAGTTTCCCGTTGTGGATTACTTGGCATGTAGCATTGTCATATAACTGTTGGATGAGATGTATAAGTCGATGATGCGGCTTAGTATTTTGCTTGGGATGGACAGGAGCATAATTCCACTCCAGTTTTTGCATTGACTTAAGTCTCCTTTCTTTGGTAGTTTGAATAAGTATCCTTTCTTCCAATCCTCGGGTACTTTGTCCTCTTTCCACACCTTCTCCAGTAATGGCATCATCAAGTCCGCTGTTGTCTCTGGGTCCATTTTCAATGCTTCTGCTGGGATTCCATCTGGTCCTGCTGCTTTTCGAGCTTTTAGCATCTTGATTGCATTCAGGACTTCTGATTTCGTCGAGGGGGGGGTCGATGTTCACTAAACTTAGGACTAGAAGGTTCATCATATTCTTTTTTCACATTTTTAAAAAGAATTTTCTTTATATTCCGAGTGGAGGATAGAGCTTCAGTCTTTAAGACTTCAGTAGTGGTGTTGCTTTTGTGAAGTAGAGTTACTAGTCTGACATGCAACCCTCCCTCTTTTTCCAGACTACTATCGGTTAAAAACTTCATGGAATTCTTCCCATTAATTAACTTGAACAAAGCAAGAACAACAAAGCGCATACATTGGAAGAACAGAGAGAAGGGTTAGTGTCTGCATTTATGAACACATACACCAAAGAACCTGAGACTGAAAGGTCCGCAAGCATTAAACAGTGCGATTGCTCGTCATCTATTGGACAGTGGTCATAGTGTAGACAACCTGAAGTCGTTCAAAATAATCAACAAGCAAAAGAAACCTAGCTTGCTACGCTTTGCTGAAGCAATTGCCATCATCTCTCTCTCTCTCTCTCTTAACAAATCACTATAGGAGATGTGCATTGAGACGTCGGCTAAATTGTCTAGTAATACACACAACGGAATTGACAGGTACAATCTTATCATCCTGTTTACAAATGCAAGTGTTTTCTTTATATTTAATGCTTGTTTGTAATTGTAAGTATAATAGAACAAAGCCTCATGAGATCTGTTTGAAAACAATGTTCTATGCGAATCTGCAATATTTTCTGACAATAATAATAACACCATCACGGAAAACATTTTATTTCGATAAAATCACAGTGTTGTACAGTAATGTTTACTGATGACGTTTCGAGCACAAATTATTATTGCTCATTATCATATCAAGGCACATAATGATAAGATAAATAAGAAAGAATATAAGGCATCTACAGTAGTTTTACCATATATATGGAGGGGACGTGTAAGACTCTCTTCGTAGGATTTTTTATAAAGCAGGAATTAGGACGGCATTCAAACCTACAAACTCACTCAGGTAGGACAAACTCTGTAGGTAGGCTAAAGGACCCAGTAGGTTGACCCAATTAAACAAAACAATATAATTTAAAAAATACCCTGCAATGACTGTTAATGAAGTCAACTACATAGGTCAACCTAGTAGACCGGGAGTAGTCAGATAGATTATCAGAATATAAGAATTTAGGGAAGGCTAGAATGATTGACGCCACGAAGAGAAGTAATTTAAACAAAAGCTTGGCAATCGCACTGTATGCATTGACATACAATCACACAATAGGGTGGGTGAAAGAGAGTCAAAATTCTTAAAAGTAATATAGGTCGTTGGAGAGAAAGAGAGAAAGATTGATTACTGAATCCTGGTTCATCCAATCTACACCCAACACATGCAACAGAAATAACTCCACGCAAATACCAGAGATATGGAAGATAATATTACCACCAGTCAAATCAGAGGATAATAAGTAATGGTAAAGTGTATTCAATTCACAGTATAGCAGTCTATTATTATTATTATGATTATTGTTATTATTATTATTATTTATTATTATTATTATTATTATTATTATTATAGGAACCCGAAGGAGCAATAATATAATAATAATAATAATAAGCATCTTGCTTCCCATCTTATTGTATTTGATTGACAACAATAATATTATTTCCGAATGTATTTTATCTTACATTGGTTTTATTCAAATGTCCAATCATCAAGTTTTACGCATGTACATAAATGAAGCAAAAAAGTTGTGTGAGCGACTTGATGTGATTATGAGCAGTAATAAATTCTGCTCGAAACGTGGTCGCATCAGTGAATATTACTGTATAACACAACACTGTGTGATTTGAGTAGCATGAAAATTCCCATTGAATCATATGAAAGAGAGAAGACGTTCAGCGAAGATACTCTTTTTAGCGAATTCATTCACATAATTGTGCAATCGCTGTTTGTCTACTGAGTAAGAAGTAGTCTTCCTAAAGCTGTACGAATCAGACTTCTTCAAACTACAGAAGCCATGGCGATTCACTTGCTAAGCCCTGAACTCTGCATACAGAAGAAGTTCGTTCAATCACTACACTTGCAGTGGATGTAATCCCTCTTATTATCCGACAAGTAAATTCTATCTAATCTTTCTTTGTCTGAGTCTTCATTAGTATTATTTAGTCTTCTCAATTGTAATATTTTGCATTTTCAACTTTCTTGTTCTCTACCCCCACCCGATTTAATTTCTACACCTCACTACCACTGTTACTGACTTGACCAACGCTCAATTTATAGTCATTTATATTACGCCATCCAACTTATTTGCTCAATTTCAGTTCTAATTTAAATGGCATTATTCTCTACCCCACTTCTCCTTCGTCTCTACCTGTAATTACCTCTGTTGGTACGCTGACCTAAGTTGAAACATTTTAGTCCATTATATTACGTCATCTAACTTACTAACTCAACCTGAAATCAATCTGGAAATCTTCGTCACTCAGCGTCAACAACAAAATTCGGTCGAACTTTCAATACGAACGTCAAGTCAGTCACTTCCTCTATACGGATCAGAAACTTGGAGGGTCACAAAGAATATTTCAAAAAGGTTGCAGACCTTTATTAACAACTGTCTTCGCTGGATCTATATTGAAGATGAGATGGCCGGGCCGGAAAGAATCGCCAACAACCAACCAAACTATGGGAAGAAACAAAACAAGAACCGATCTCCTAGCAACAAAAAATATGCAGGAGAAAGTGGAGATGGATTGGACACTCGCGGCTGAGGAGGCCGTTGGGTGACATCGCGCGTCAGGCCATTGCTCGAGTGGAAACCAACAGAATGGGAAGCGGCGATTGGGTCGTCAGTGCAAGGGTGACATGGAGATCGTGTGAAGAGGAATTGAAACAGTGTGGACTAACATGGATGCAGGTACAGCAAGTACAGCAGAAGGAAGACAGAAGCAAGTGGAGACGTGCAATTGAAGCCCTATGTTCCACTAGGAACCCAAGGGAGCAATAAATAATAAATATATAACTTACTAACTCAATCTTACTTTAGTTGCTGTCCAATTAACCTTGTTTCCTATTCAGATCATTCTTTTATTATCTAATCAATCATCCAAACTTGACAAACCTCATGTACACACACACACAAATAATTATATATAAATGTGATTGTACAGTTAGCTATGTGAATGAATTCGGCGGCGAAAAGAGTCTCTTCGCTGAACGTCTTCTTTTTTCATATGACTAAATGGGGATTTCATCAGAATAAAATTTGTATACAGTGCCCAAGTTTTATACTTATATCAATAATAATAATAACATTGATATCCTTTATTTATTTCTCCCTTTTTTCGAAAAAAACCACCACAACATTTAAAGGAATGTCCAACTGGTCATTTATCCATCGATGATTTTAAACGTGTATATACCAAGTTTTTTCCATACGGTGAATCAACACGTTTTGCTGAATGTGTCTTCCGGACATTCGATAAAAATCGTGATGGTTTGATTGATTTCAGGGATTTTTTATCTTCATTAAATATTACAAGTCGTGGTGATTTACCACAGAAATTACGTTGGGCATTTACAATGTATGATTTAGACAATGATGGGTATATATCAAGGCAAGATTTAATTGAAGTGCTTACGGTATGTATGTATCGTTTTATTTGTTTTGTTGATAACTTCTTTTGTATTATGTTATATAATGCATTTCCCGTTTGATTGATGCGACTGCCTGTTGTTGTATTGTAATATCGTCAGGAGTATTGAGGTTAGGCGTTTAGTGTTGGATAAGATGGCTAGAACACGTGTTACGCATGTTTAAGCTATGTATCTCCTTTCATGTCAAACAATATATTAGCTAACATAGAATTAATTTGGAAAAGAGTTAGAGGCGGTCAAACCAAAACCTGATACAAATCCATGAAGTCTTTGACTGTTGGTTTTAGCCACCCATGTAGGGAGGTGTAGACTGCCTAGTTGAGGTAGTCCTTGAAATGCTGCTGTAAACCAATGATTTGAGACTATTGGTAACACATCTGTGAGCTCGCATTGTAACTGGGAGGCCTGGGTTCAAACTCCGGTGGGTGTGTACTGATGAAGAATCCCGGTCTAGGACGAAACAGCTATCCAGTACTCCCAGGTTCTCCAGTGATTCTCTACCCGATGTCAGCTCATGATGAAATCTTGTAACCAATGAAATCCCCGCAAATCAACATGTGAATATCTAGAAATCATTTTTAGCGTTGCAGATGCATTCACTCTTTGGGACCTAAGCCTTCAAGTTTTTATCGTAGATTATTGTTGATTCTAGTTTCTTTGTTGTGATCGAAACCGTCTCGTTGTGTTCTAAACGCAGAAAACCGATCTATGCATTCCACTGTATAAGTGACAGAAACTTGCTTCCTTGAGAGACTCACAGTTACAAACACTGCAAAGGTAGTAGAAAGACAATCATTCTTCGATAAATCTATGCCGTTCTATTCGACAGTAAATAACATCAAGAACTCAAAATCACCTCAACAGTGTTGTTAGAGGCAGCGGTACAGAAAAGGTACGTTTTTCAACACAAAACAAGCACTGTAGAATAAAATTGGTTAGCCGAAATTCAACCGTAGTGTAGGTAGCTAAGAATCAAGTAGAGTATTTCCAACATTGTGGGATCGAAACTCCGTCCACAAGTTTCGCATACACAGCGCTTCCCCGCAGACAGTTTAAGGTCAGAATAGCCTTGGCGCGTGGCTGTCCAGCATTCAACAACTGCACCGCCGACAAATCATTAGTTCACTTAGGGGAGTCAAATGTTAACTCATCAAAATGAAAATTGAATCAAACTATTTTCCCTCAGCAAACTGGTATGGTGCGAATAAGAATATCTTTTGCAGGATAAGATGTAGTTCATGTCATACGAGGATCTCATCAGCTGCATTATTATTATTATTGTTCCGTTTGGTTCCTAATGGAACATAGAACTTCAACTGCACGTCTCCACTTGTTTCTGTCTTCTGCTGTACTTTTCACCTGCATACATGTTAGTCCATACTCTTTCAACTCCTCCTCACACGATCTCCTCTATGTCACTCTTGCACTGACGTCCCACTCACCGCTTCTCTTTCGGCCTGGTTCCACTCGAGCAATGGCCTGACATTCGCGCGATGTCACCCAGCGGCCTCCTCAGCCGCAAGTGTCCAATCCATCTCCGCTTGCTTCAGCATATTTGTTGGGCGGCGATTCGTTCTTGTTTTGTTTGTTCCCATAGTTTCTTGTTGGTGATTCTTTCCGGCCCGGCCATCTGATCTTCAGTATCGATCCAGCGAAGATAGTTGTTGATAAAGGTAGCGTCTGCGACGGGCTGTCGGAAATATTGTTTGTGACCCACTCTCCAAGTTTCTGATCCGTATAGAAGAACTGACTGACTTGGGGTTTGTATTGAAAATCCTACCGAATTTTGTTGTTGATGCTGGCTGAGTGAAGAAGATTTCCAGATTGGTTTCAGGTTGATGAATGTGTTTCTCGCCTTCCCGATTCACACTCGATTTGACATCCTCGTCCGTTCCGAATGCCTGTAGTTGAGACAATGCTCCCTAGATGAGTGAATGAAGTAACCTCTTTCAAATCCCTTTTGTTGATGGTGATTGGCGCTGGAAGTTGCTGTAGTTGTTGTTGGTTGGTTGGTTATTTTCATCACCTCCGTCTTGTCTGTGTTCACCTGGATTCCTGTCTTCACCGGCTGCTTCTTCGACCAGTTTGTCGGTTTTCGCTTTGTAAGTCTTCGGTTTTTTGTGACATCAAAAATAAATCATCGCCGCGCAAAATCCAGGTCTTCTAGGTTCTTCACATCGGTCCAGAATATCCCTGTCTTCTCGTTTCCCACAGTCTGACGACGCATAATCCAGTCAATTCACCACAATTAGGAATATCATTGGTGATAGATAGTAAGCATCCTTGTCTGACTACTGTGTTTACTCGAAACGCCTCGCTGAGTTTTCCATTGTGGATTACTTGACATGTGCCGTTGTCGTACAGCTAGCTATTGTATAAGGTTAATGAATATTTGGGGCACTGTACGCCGTAGTACTCGAGGAGTTTCGAAATTACTTGGCGGTCAACGCTGTCTGTCGAAGGCCTTCTCAAAGTCTATGAAGTTGAGGTAGAGGTTTGATTGCCATTTTATGCTTTGTTTTGTGATGATGAGGCGTAGAGTTGCCATTTCGTCAGAATATGTGTCAGCTACCGTCTCATAAACCTTTAATGCCCAGCTCCCGCTACGCTCGGGCCCACGCTGTTAGAAGATTTCTCAGAAACGCTTAGTAACAACGGACGAAAAAACCAAAACACCAATTGTTGACTTGAGTATTATGTATTGTTACACCAGCATATAGATCAAGTATCACTAAGCAAACTAAGAAAACTAAGGTCTGTAAACAAATATTACAATAATAAATCGTTATGTTACTTCTGACGGTATTTAACTCTTCTTTCTGAACAGCGACCGATGAGACGATGACTGTCGTATTGATGCCTCCGCGAAAATCGAGGAAGTTGATTTTGAGCAAACAACCAAGAATTGATCGTTCAATCTTCAACTCCATTGACACTCCCCGGCAAAAAAGGGATCCAACCCTTTTTTCCTTCACGACCAATGCACGTTGACTTGGATGCCATTGCGAGAACCTGGGTCACACGGACAGAGCTGAAATGGAAAACAAACAGAAAAGCCAACACACCACAAGCATACCCACAGCACAATCTCACACATCAATGACGACCTGCGCCTCCAGACAGAGACCTCCTCTTGACATCTTGCAACACAATCGCCACTTGCTAGAATGACTCTTGCAGAATGCAACGTGACCATAGCAGCACCTCATGATACTCTACGCACATCGTCTTATCTACTCACTACCAATTACTACTGCAATCGCTTGTCACTCATTCTGCCTCAGTTCTAGTAGCGGTGACGCATGCGAGCCTCAGTCGTTTACACTCTTTCTCCCCGGCGTGTGGGACCGCAGCTAACAATTATCTCCGTGTGCATTTCATTCTCAGCAATAGCCTAGCCTCCCCGGCGTATACGACCCATCTGCTGTCCTTAACATCAATCAATTCATTCATGGACGTAGAAGACTAGAAACAACTTCAGAAGTAATCACGACGAAAATTTTAACAAAATTACGCAATAACAACAAGATACGAAAACAACAAGTAAACACAATGAATCCAAAAAACACCAATTGATAGAACACACCACACATATATACAAACAGTACAAACAACCTCGCCGATCATGTCTTGATTGAATTCCTTTGAAGAATTGCAGGACTTACACCAGTACGCCTGCAACCCTTCACAGGTTGACGATTGTAAGTTGTGGAATGTCCGGACACAAACAAGATTAACCAACAATTACAATAATTGGAACTCACAACTATTTAACACAAACATATGTACAATGACTACATCAAATGTTGTGGATTCCGACACGACAAACTACCCTTGAAGAACTGTAGGACTTACAGCAGTACGCCTACATTCCCTCTCAGGTTGATGATCCAAGTGGAAGTCGTCCGGACACAAACAGAATTACCAACAGATAGATAAAAGATGATATCAATTCAGTATATACAACATGAACATATGTACAAGATCATACACCAAGCACATTGGACTGCTCATTGATGCGCTACCCTTTGAAGAACTGTAGGACTTACACCAGTACGCCTACAACCCTTCTCAGGTTGACGCCCTAGGTTGGAAAATCGTCGCAGAGTTCATTTGCTAACTTCCTTCTATCAGCTATATCCTCAAATCTGAACGGTAACCCGCTCATGTCATTGTATCGTAGAATATACATGACCAACATACACACGACATATCTCATCAACCAAGTATAGAAACAGAGTAATTTACACCAAAGATAATAACATTCAAATAGTGACTTGAAACTAGAAATGCCTTTATTCGTGCAAGTCAATTTAACAATTACTCTCTCCTTTACACTTGGCTTATCCACACTAAACTGACCATTGATATTCGTCCTTTCAAACGAACTGATACTACCATAGTCATTGCACAAGATACTTGAGTTGATGGGTGTCTGTTTCATTGTGGATGACAGCACCAACGATGACTGATTGACACAAGGTGATGAACTTAGTGGTGGATCAGAAGCTGTTCTTGTTCGGCTCTCAGATAGTTGTCCAACTGCAAGATTACCACCACTGCTGTCTTTCACTACTAGTTCGGGTTTAGCACTATCATCTGATGATAGGTGGGCTACACGCTGATCAATTACACTGACTGTCTCACAAGTATGCACACCTTTTGGAACTGCATCTGCGTTCAATTCTACTTCACGTTGTAGTTGTACAGAACCTTTATTTAACTTAGCAGTAGTAGGCATTCCCTCCATTTCATCATGATCAACCAAAGACAAATCTGCACTATCATGATCATTATCACAAATATCCAATTTACCGTCAAGTTCATCATTTTCAAACTCTTTAATAACAGAAGTAGACAATTTTGGTTCCTCCTCACAAATCATCAAAGGTTTTATCCTTCACTCTGACTAGTTATACTTTGTAAACTTTTGGAGTCAGAACTCCACTCTGAAGCAGTAACTCTATTCTGTGACACTCTATTTA